TTTATTTCAAAAACATCACATTTTTTTTAAAACCTTTTTAGCACTTTCACGCTGAGAACTCCATTAAGGGATCCCTCTGCATTAATGCATTTTTTACTATATTTTCTTTTCCTTCACTCTTCCATAATTTCTTTTTTCCCTTCCATAAATAACATTTAGCCAAATATATCAAAGATTCCGAAAGAAGAATATCTAAAAAATAATTCCCTCTGCACAATGAGAATTTTAGTATTTTTTTTTTCTTTTTTGAGTTGAAAACTTTTTTCTGTACAATTTTATTTTAACTCAAATATACCTTTAATATATTTTAAGTATACTATATTGTGATAATTTATAATTTAAATATTCCATCAATATGTCATATAAATTTTTTNTGTGCTCTTCCGATCTCTTATATATATACATCATAATACATCATTATATTGATAATATTCAAAGTATATTACTAGCATATACCTTACATAAAATTTAACCTAAAATATTAACATGCCACTAATATGTATATAGAAGAAAAGAAATATGTCACATATACTATTTATATACGGATAATTTATACAAATATGCATGTTATATTAGTGCAAAATATAAATGGCATATCAATAATTTCTATTTAAATATAAATAAGTTTATAAATAACATATGCATATATACATGATTTTTCCTAAAAAATACATGATTTATAATATAGCACAAACATACATCATATTTTTTTCACGAAATATTTTATTTCGATGGAATATATATATATATATATATATATATATATATATATATATATATATATATATATATATATATATATATATATAATTTTGCTAGGATTAAGTTGAATAACAAGGTCCATGTATAAAAAGGAAAAAATTTATTATGGAATGGATTGATGATACATATTTAAATATAAAGACGTATATAAACAACATATGCATATATACATAAATTTTCCTAAATAGTACATGATTTATAATGTATATATACCGCAAACATACATTATAATTTTTCATAAAATATATGTATTTTATTTCATTAGAATATTAAGATGTATAATTTGTATAAAAAGGTCCATGAATGAAAAGGAAAAAATATGTTATGGAATGGATTGGTTTCTAACAAAAACATAAAACATGTTATGGAATGGAGAGAAACAATAGGGAAAGATATTAAATACTAGGACTACCTTTTTAAACAGCTTGATTCCTGCTGATTTGAATTGAATTAAATCTGCTATATATATAAATATTTTATTGCCATATTTGTTAATCATTAATTAATGTTAATATTTTGTATTATGTTTTTAATAGTGTGCTATTAATGAAAGTAGCCTAATTAGATATATATAACATGTTTGAGCAAGCTTTTGCGGAACTAGAAGTGTATGTTTTTAATCAAAGAAAAATGTTTATCTTTGAGAATTAAGTTTTGCGGAAAAACTTAAGTGCTTTTGAATAGCTTTCTGAGTATGTTATAAATTGTTCTGCAATCAATTCATCTTTCCAACTTTTTAGTTTTCAAAATAAGTAACCAAGCTTTGTTTGCTATTTGATATTTCCTGAAAAGCAGAGACAGGCCAGAATTTTAAGCCAGTGAGTGTGATAGAACTCGTTTGTCATGAACAGGTACAAATTAGTAAAGAATAAACTTGTGTTAATAAAAATGTTTCAACTAAATATTTCAATTCGAACCTAAAGCATTATAATTAGTATCTGAGGCTAGATTTCTACTAATGAAAGAGTAGGCTTCAGCCTTCATTATTTGACAAAAGAGGCATACCTAAGCCTAACTACCTAAGCTAGGAGTCAAGTTCCCCTCCCCCTCTCCTCTACAGCTCCCCCCCCCCCACCCCCCCACCCCCCCCAAAAAAAAAAAAAGGAAGAAAAAAGAGATCCAGTAGATATTGATGAAAGGATATATATACTCAACCTTAATGTTAGGGGTACTGAGATCAAGATTAGAGATATGAATGGGTGATTGGACCATTGCAGAGACACTCAAAGCGATCTTTCAATTTTGATGGAAAAAGGATATGCGGCCTTTGGTGGCAAAATTGTAAAGGGTAGAGTTGGGGTTTGAGTGTTTATCACATAAATGAAATTCAGGAAACAACAACAAAAAATAACCCAGTAAAATCCCACTAGTGGGGTCTAGGGAGGGTAGAGTGTACGCAGACCTTACCCTACCCCGAAGGGATAGAGAGGCTGTTTCCGAAAGACCCTCGGCTCAAGAAAACAAGAAAGAAAATAGCGAGACAATATTAGTATCACCATAGAAATCATAGACAAAATAGGAGCAACATGAAATCCAGAAGAAAGATGCAGAGCAAAGCAAAAATGATAGCTAGTAAATAGGTCATGCACTGAAAAGCGAAATAGTAAGACACAACGTTGCCACTATCTGTCTTAGACAAAAACCCTACCAGCCTAGTCTCACAAAGGTACGAAGTAAGGCAAGAATCAACTACCTCCTAACCTAGAACTCTAATACTCGACCTCCACATCTTCCTATCAAGTGTCATGTCCTCGAAAATCTAAAGCCTCGGCATATCCTGCCTGATTACCTCTCCCCAATACTTCTTAAGCCGCCCTCTACCTCTCCTCGTGCCCTCCACAACCAGCTGCTCACACCTCCTTACCGGAGCATCTGGGCTTCTCCTTTTAACATGCCCAAACCATCTGAGCCTCGCTTCCCGCGTCTTGTCATCAATGGGAGCCACGTGCACCTTCTCCCGCATATCATCATTCCTAATCTTATCCATCCTAGTGTGCCCGCACATCCACCTCAACATCCTCATTTTTGCTACTTTTATCTTCTGGATATGTGAGTTCTTAACAGCCCAACACTCAGCCCCATACATCATGGCCGGTCTAACCACCGCTTTATAGAACTTACCTTTGAGTATCCGTGGCACTCTCTTGTCACACAGGACCCCAAATGCTAACCTCCACTTCATCCATCCTACTCCAATACGGTGTGTGACATCATCGTCGATCTCCCACCCCCCTGGATAACCGACCCAAGGTACTTGAAGCTTTGGGATGACTTGTGATTCAAGCCTCACATCCACACCCACTTCTCCCGGCTCAGCGCTGAACTTACACTCCAGGTATTCCGTCTCCGTTCTGCTCAGCTTGAAACCCTTAGACTCAAGAGCCTGTCTCCAAACCTCCAGCCTCTCGTTAACACCGGCTCGCGACTCATCAATCAGAACTATGTCATCGGCTAATAGCATGCACCATGGCACCTCCCCTTGAATATGGTGCGTTAACGTGTCCTTCACCTGGGCGAAAAATTCAGGAAATGGCCAAAATAAAATAAAAACAAGAGAATGAAAGTGGGGGTGGGGGTAGGGGTGGGTGAGGGATAGTAGGGTGGGTGGTAACGGAAAAACTGAAATTTGAAAAAAAGAAGAAAGAAAAAACCTTTTTTTGAGAGAGGGAGTGGAGTGGGTTGGTGAGGGTAGGGAAGGTTGAGAAGGAGTTTTGGAAAATGTTTTTCCTTCTCTTGATAAGGAAAATATTTTCCTCCAATTGGAGGAAAATTAGTTCATAAGAAAAATATTTTCTAAAACATTAAGCCAACCAAACATGAGAAAATTGGAAAACATTTTCCGGAAAATATTTTCCTTCCTACCAAACACACCCTAAGTGTGCAATAGTTAAACTCTTTAAAAAAAGTTAGGCAATGAGTTAGATGATATTTATACATACTTGGTGGTTTAAGAATTTAATGTTAAATATTTGCACGTGCACTGTGCACACAGGCGGATTTATGGTCCAAATTACGGGGTACGTGAATTCATGGTTTCTCTGTCAAATTAAATTAGATTTTTATGTACGTATTTCATAGAATTGGTCTAATATTATTTGTTGTCATCCATGCTCCAAAAAAGACTGAATGGTGTACTTCGTTATATTTGATTATTTACTGAGAAGAACAGGGATCAGTTCCCACTTAATACTTTCTTTTTACTTTTTTTCTCGGTACTCTCATATTCTAGAAAATCTAAATCCGCCGCTGATTGTGCCAGGGGTGCTTAATATATAACTCACACTTTCTAGCAATTAATCATAGAAATTGAGGAGTACTACTCTATAAATTTGTTTATATTAATGTGTTGTACTCTCTACATATAGGAGGATCGCTTTTTCTTTTTTTTCTTTTTAAAGCAAGGTAGATGGGTGGTCTAAACAAGGTTAAGAAACCGTACGTGCAGAAGTTATATATATACACTTGTATGAAGAGTCAAAATTAAATGATATGCATGTCATTTTCATAGATTAAAAGAAAGGTTTCCTTTTAGGATGACTTTTTCTAATGGGGAGAAGTTGAACATAGACTTATTTTGATAGGGCATGCCCTCTTGATTGACGGGGACTAAATTAAGACCGGAATCAGTGTGCTCTTTTAGTTATTCAATTTAGATTACAAGCCAAAAAAAAAAAAAAAATGGTCATCGATTTTACCAATTTTCTATCGCATTGACCATATTTAATTATATCAAAGTCAATTTAAACATTTTGCATTTAGACCCCTGTTTTTTACCCCTCCCGCAAAAAATATTATTTTTTTTATTATAATTTTAAATTTCTATTTTTTCTTTTTTCTGCACCACCCACCCATCAATCTGCGTCCCTCCCTCCCCCCCTACCCCCCTCAAAAATATTTTTTAATATATTTTCCAATTTTAGTTTTTTTATTTATCGGTTTAAAGGTTCAAAATTTTATAAGTTCCAAAGTTATGAGTTCGGAGATTTATGTGTTTGGAAGTTTACGGGTTTAGAAATTCCGCGGTTTCGAAAGTTTATGAAAAATGTGGGTTCGGAAGGTTGCTGGTTTGAAAGTTTATGGCTTCATGTTTATTATATCTAAATTATTTATGAATACTCTTGAGAAGTTATTTTCCTTAATTTGCGTACCAAACACCGAAAAATGAATAAGATTACTACTTGTTTTCCAAGAAAATATTTTCTTGGAAAACATTTTCCGTTATACCAAACACACCCTTATAAATATAATATTTTCACACTCTATCACGTTAAGTCAATTACATACAATCTTTTATAACAAATATATATCAGTAACCTACAAAAGATGATATATACCTTGTTATATTAGTTAAAAATTTATTGATAGTATAAAAATCTTTTACAAAAGTGATCAATACACAAGAACCCTTTTGGTCTTTTTCCCTGTTGACCTTATCAGTTTTGACCAAAACCCTTCTTTCTTCTTTTGTCCATTCATAAATCCACCTGATCTTGCAACAAAAGCTATCGATCTGCTTTTTCTCAAACCACCTCCGGTGCCGGCGCCGGCACCGATGATGCTGACGAAAGAGAAGGGACCCACAACGTCGGAGGTGATACGGCGGTGGCCGCCACCACGTGGAGAATCACAAGTGGAAGAAGAAGTAGAGGAAAATAAAGAAGAGGTAGATGAAGATATTACTGCTATTGTTGCTGTTGAAGCAGAAAGCTTGTTAAGTCTTTCTCTGAGACAACAAGAACAAACTCCTGGTTGTTGTTTATGATCTGGATGTTTCTTGCATATAATTTCTGACTCATGAGTAAAAGCCATAATTCTTCGCACGTAATGAATTATGAATGAGTAATGACTAATGACCAAATTGCATGTGAGTGGGAATATGAAGATAAGATGTGTATATATATACAGAAAAATATAGTGGATGTTGGGGGTACCAAGGAGTCAAAGGAACGTGCGTAAAGGATGAGTTATCAGTGTGAAATTGGAATTTGTGTCAGCTGTTTTCGAGTGTTTAATTAGGAGAAGACGTAGATTTATGGGGACCGTGTGTGTGGGTCACGACGTTACCGACTTTGCTTCTGTTTTTATGATCACTCTCAATCGGAGTCACGCAGACTCGGAATTTGATCGAATGTTACGGGTGCACTTTTGTATTTAACCAAAATATAATTTGCTTTATAGTATATAAGATGTCGCTATTAATATATTACTACTTTTTAAAAATATATACATCTATCATAAAATTTTTATCGAACTTTTCAACTAACGGTATATGGTAACCCTAATTTTACAACATAGGTCCGCCTCTGCTCCCAACAATTTTTTTAAGACACTTTCCCATCAAAGGTAGACTGTTGTAACAATTATGTTTGCAAATATTCCTTTGTAAAATAGTGTTCTTTTTTAACTTAATTTATACGCATATATCGATCGATAGTGGTCTTTTTGTTACATTATGTGTCAATGTAATTAATTAATGGTAGCATATACTATACCTTATTTTCAAATTACTAGAATTAGTATATGCGCTTTGCGTGTGTACCCCATCTTAATGAATACAAACTTTTAAAAATGGCATGAACATCATATTAAAATTGTGTTTCAATTACATAAAATAATTTTTTTTTGTAAATTTATGAAATGATGATTATTATCCTATTTAACTAACTTAATAAAGGAAGAAACTCCATCCCATATAAGTCCTAAACCATCATTACTCTTAAAATATATTCCAATTTTATAATTTTACCACTTCAAATTTACAGTTGCGCTTACTTTTTAGTTACAGTAAGAGCACATAACCCTTGCATATTTTAGAGTTTTTTTTAAAAAAAATGCATATATTCTTAAGTTCATTCTAAAAAGACAGAAACATAGTCATCTAACTTACACAAAACATTTATTTCCTCATGAGCAAAATGCATAATATTCGATTACTTTAATCAATAAAAAAATATATAGGAATTATTTTCAATATATTAGAAAAGATAAATTACTATCGCAAAACTAGAATAATTAAGTCACTAACGTATGATTAATCTATTTTTTTCTTTTAGTGAGAGCTTTCTTTCTTTGTCCAAATACATAATCATGCATCCCAGATTTTATATTTATGCATCAAAAAATTACTTTTCTATGAAAATCAAGAGTATATGATTGTATTTAGATTACTTGATAGATTTTATTAGAAGATTTGGAATATGAAATTTACGTTAAGATCAAAATTTAAATTTATTCTTTTCATCAATTTATAGAATGTATCATTTTAGTTGTTCTTATTTAAATAGGAACTTTTTAAACTTAAGTCTGATTTAATTCAAAAATACATTTTAATTGCTTATATTTCCTAAAAGCATTTTAAGAGAAATTTTACAAGAATACTTTGCTTGTTAACTTCTATTCTATTATGATTTCTTATGTTGTTGAATTTAATTTTTACTCCCGTTAAATACATATAAATGATTTTCTACTAGTTGTAACCTCAGTTTCTTTTTTATTTTGTTTTGTTTCATGTATAAAATGGCACATGCTTTACATTACTTGGAATTGTGAGATAATTTGTACTCCTAAAGTTATATCTTTAAAATATTTTAGTTCTAAGCATAAAAAAATTCCAATAAAAGAAATAATATTTTAATTACTTGTGTGAGTTGAGCTTTGCTTTAATTGAATGAATAAAATAATTCATTTTTAATTTAGATATACCACTTAAAAATAATTACAATAATAATAACTTGTGAATCAAACTTGAGCTAAAGAAAATACAAATTGAAGAAATATTAATTTTTTATTCCCCATAACAACTTTGTCTTGTCATGTTAACTTGTTGGGAAGGATAACGTGAACTTCTCATAAATATAAATGGATTTAAAAGAGAAAATTTTGTTAAACAAAAAAAATCCGCCTACCTAAAAAGAGTATAAAGTAATCGAGACTATCCTATTGTGAATTAAAAGCTTATTTAGTACTCCTAAATCTTAATGGAGTTGAAAGTGTAGGAATTCTAGAATTGGAAGAAACGCCCCAAATAATAGGAAAATAATTAAATAAGTATTCCTAAATATTAGGAAAATAAATTAAAGTACAATTTTGTCCAATATAAAACTTATTTTTGAAGGGTAAAAAAGTCGAACGACATTTCGCTAAGGGTCTTCGTGCTTTTAATATAGTATAAATATAGATATAGATTAATTTCACTTTTTATGAAAGGTTATCTATATTTATCGTGTATATGCACTTTTGCACTGTCTCAATTTGAATTCTCTATTTTTAGATGAATTTAAATTATATAACGTTGTTATTATATTGCATTAGTTCTTCTACTTTTCCACTTAATGTTCAATACTTTGACATATTGGAAACAATTGTTATGCAAAGAACATCTACTTTCTAAAAAATCACTCAAATAAAGTTAATTAGTAAATACTACATTTATCTTGCTCGAATATACACATATATTCTCTAATACTAAAATCTTACAAGCTTAAGAATAAACCAATCATATATTCAGACTAAAAAAAATCGCGGTTTTTCACCCTGTTCCGTTTGGAATTTGGAAAAACGTAAAACACCCCACACTTACAAGTTACACCATTGCTCGTCCTCGAGCAATCAAACTACACTTTTTTTTTTGTTTTTTTTATAGACACGACCTTTTTAAACAATTCTCCTAACTCATCACACCAAGAGTATTTAAAATAGACTAAGCACAAAAGTGTAACATCTTCACCTCAAGATTTGACTCACAAGTATCACGCATTATTCACAACTCACCTACTTACTCTAACATAGAGGTCACTGACATTACCTTTCCTTCATGAATCAAGTGCCCTCACACAACAAAAGAGAGTAGTTCCACTCCACACAATAAAATTGAAGAACACTTAGGAACTCAAGATAGAAAGAATTCACTCACTCTCAGAAATAACATTCATATGCCACAAAAGATGCACCATAAGCTTGCCCGTAGTGTACTACTCCACTAATCGAGCTCATTCAATCCAGGATCAATTAGGACTTTATTTGGTTGTAATGTAGGCGGAGGGACGGGTAGGATACATTTAGATATAAGAGTGACTACACCTCCCTAAGCACTTTAATACATATACTTTAACATTCAACCCCATACTTATGTCAAACCAAACTCCACCTTCACATCAATTTATATTACCCCATACTTCTTTAAGCACACTTACATCAAGAGCCACCACTTATCAAGGAATTATTATTATTATTATTATTATTATTATTATTATTATTATTTTTTTTTTTTTTTTACAACAATCCAGCTATTTTTTTTTCAATTCAAGTGGCTTTTACTTTTTCAAAACAGTGCACCTTTCTCCATATTTCGTTAGTTCCACTCAAAAGCCAAACCAACCACCCCACACTTTAACTTTTACAAAGTTCATAAACAATTCAAGTGCTCATGAGAGGTTACAATGGTTCAAATAGATGGTTAATTCCAACAAATGGGTAAGGCTTGTAATGTGGTTGCTAAGGAAACAAGATTACAGGCTCAAAGGGGTTAACTACGATACATAAGAATTAGGTGAGTAAAATATGTATATATGGCTCAACAAGAAATGTTTATATCACTTCCAAGACCGAACAAAACTACTATTTCGCTTTGCAAACACACGGGGTAAGTTCTAGGCATCAAATGCAATGCACAGAATAACACAAAACCATACACACACATGGCACATAACTCACTCAGGATTGGATTCATCAAGACACTCTAGTCAAAGCAGTTAAGCAAAGTTAAGATAATACAACTTAAGGTACTTCTACAAGAGTCAAAAACTGAGCCTAAGCGTCACACCCAAAGTACTCACTATTCTCAAAGGCATAACAAAAGTGAAGAGATATTGCTTCAATTCAAAACACAACACAATGGCTCCTATTCCTAAAAAAAAAAAAACTAACTACACCCGGTTCAAATAAAACCCTTGGAAAAGAACCGCGGCACAAAGAAAAACCAAGGGGGAATTGCTACACTACCTAACAAAAGAAAATCTTTTTATTTTATTTTTTCTTTAGGCTTAAATCCCTCAAGAAAATTGTCTAATAAATCCATCGTCGGGAAAAGTCCAATCCTTTTTTTTTTCTTAACAAAATAAATAAAAAAATTATTCAATTAAACAAACACAACTAAAATAACATAGAAAGTCACCCAGACAATCTCCTCACCCCACACTTAAAATTGTGCATTGTCCCCAATGCACACCATATTAATAAGAGGGTAAAAGAAACTCCCTGGTAGGTCAAAGACCGAATCACTAGTAGCTTATGGGGTATTCAGACTTCTCCCAAGCTCGGTCCTTCGTGCGGGTACCTCACACTTAGTTCCAACCATTTGGTTTGTTGTTGCATCCTTCCAATACTTTTTCTTTCCATGCTCCTAGAAAATAAAAAATTGACACTACAAAAATAATACAATTAAAAAAATAAATAAAAGAAAGCAATAAAGCTGGGTTGCCTCCCAACAAGCGCTTGATTTAACGTCGCGGCACGACATGAATCACTTTCCGCCTCCACTTTGAACTTATGAATTGGACCCCAAGTTTTGATTCTGCTCTATGATCATGCTCCTGGGGTGGTGGAACGAATCTGGCTGACCCAATAAAATAATGTAGTATTCTGCACTTCTTGGCCTTTAGATGAGGTGTGTAATCCCGATTTTCTGGCAAGAAGAATTCCAGAATGTAAGCACTTTGTTCCTCATTCCTCGACTCCTCAAATGGCTCGGACGACTCTATTTACATATCATCATCTAAACACAATGTGGAAAAATGCTTGGAGTGAGGACCAATGCGCTCAACTACATGAACATTGGGACTCTCTATATTCTCAACACTAATGACAATAGAGTCAACAAAATATGTATCCTCATTATCCTTGGTTGACTCTAGTATCTCTTCTACAACATCGATATCCTCAAAATCTAGTGCGATTGATTGTTGGTGTTCTACTCTAGCCTCCTCTTTGTATTTTTTTAAATCCTCCATCATAATGGCAATTTCTACAGCCAATTCATGCTCATATTGGCTACTATCCGCAATGTCAACTTGTTGCGCTTTACAAGGTTCAATTAATTTATTCGCTTGAGCCTCCAAGTTGTGAATAGTTGCCCCTTGCCTTTGTATCCGCAGTTGTATCTCATCATATTGTTCCGTAAGGCACATTAGCATATCCTCGATCTTTTTCAGGTCCTCATACGTGGGTTCCATGTTCCTATTAACTTCACAAGAAAAAGAAGAACCATCAAAGTAAGAGGTTGGGGGAAGATAGGAACTATAAGAACAACCATGAAAGTGACCATCTTGACCACCACACATATCACACACATTCCACACATAAGATTGAGTTAGTGCACAAAACTTGCTCTCGGAAATATTTTGATAATTTTTTCCTGGGTGGTTTCCTTCACAATATGCATAAGGAGGATTAAAACTAGAATTACCAACACCAAAATTCTCATAATTCCATGATGCCATGTTTCTCAAATAAACAAATAAAACTAAAANGCATGAGGTTTGTAAATTGAAAACTTTAAAAACTCATAAGTCCGAATCGGGATGTGAATCGAGATTTTGATGTTGTTTAGCGTGATTTGAAACCCCGAGTAAGTCCGTATGATATTTTGGAACTTGTTGGTATATTTGGACGGGGTCCCGAGTACCCCGAGGTTGATTCGGATCGAAATCGGATCAAGAACTGGACTTAAGCAAATTCTAGAAATTTAGGTGTAATCGCACCTGCGCAATTTGGGCCGTAGGTGCGAGGCCGCTTCTGCGAGATTTTTGGTCGCTTCTGCGACTTGGGCACTGGACAGAAACTCCTCTTCTGCGGAGAAATGGAGCGCACATGCGCAACCGCTCCTGCGAAGCCACAAGCGCTTCTGCGGTCGTTTGGTCGCTTTTGCGATGTCGCAGGCGCGACATTGAAGTTCGCAGATGCGAAGTTCCGCAAATGCGAGCTTTGTTCGCCAATTTACTAGACGCACTCTCCCGAGCTACGCTAGCTGGCTTTTAATACAGCTCACTTCGAATCGCACCCAAGGCTTCGTTATCCCTAATCCCACCTTTAAACCCTCGGTTATTGATCCCTCATATACTCTGGGAGTGGTGTTGTTCAAAAATTACCTAAATATGCACTCTCTCCCGAGTTATGCATACTAAATAGGCACAGCTAATTGAGAGCTCTTCAATCAACCAGAATATAAACGTAGTTGAACAAATAGAGAAAAGCTATGGCTCAATTATATAAAAACATAACAAGAATTTATCCTACAAAAGGTTCTATCAAAACTCTAGATAACAAATTAGCTATTCATAATAGTATGTAAAATTACAATACTAAAAGTCATAACCAACAATGAAAAATAGGAAGAGTAAGGAAAAACTCGTAGAAGAATTCTCCGCCTTGCTGCCAATGTGTTCTTGCCTCCTTAGGTCGAATCTATGTCTCAAATCTATCCTCCTTCCTTTTCTTGGCCGGCCTCCTTCGTTTAATATAGGGTTTAGGGCTTAAAATCCCGTGTTTTGCACTTTGATCCCTGAAATTTACGCGTCCTGCCGCGGTCCTACCGCGGTTACGCCAGGACCACGGCCAGAGTGGCCTTCAGAATCTGCAGCAGTGTTCTGCCGCGATCCTACCGTAACCGCGATTTTTCACCCTGTTCTGTTTGGAATTTTGAAAAATGTAAAACATGAAAGTTGTAGTCCTTCGAGTTAGCTTTCCAACTATATATTGTGGAGTCCAAATGGAGTTCTGAGAAAAAAGTTATGTCTATTTTACTAGACAGTGCGCAATATGCCTCCTCGAGTCTTCGTTCGTACTTAATTATCAAATTTGACCCCCGAATGCGATCCCGGCTTAATTCCTTGGGCTTTTACTCAGACTTCAAAGCTCCGAATCACTTGAATTCATTCCATAACATCTATATAGCTCGGAATTACTCCTACAAGGCATAAAACACACTGTTAGTGCAAAACACTAGCGATTAAAGCGCAAACTCAACTAAAGTGCAGTAAATTAGAGTGTAATAATCGATTAAAATACGTAATTATAGCCTATCATCAACAATTAATATTTCATACATATTTTTCACTCGTTAAAAGCATTTAATTTTAAGCTAGTCAAGATATTTTATTAAAAGCAATTAAGTATTACAATCTTTAAATTTCTTAGCGCAATAAAAAACTCTCACATTCATGTAACGTAGATGGAAGCATAAATATAGAAGAAATTACACCAATTGACCCTTTTACTTTGTTTCTTTTTTCCTTTTCAAAATTTTGGTCAAATGGAGGTCTTTAATGAGTTGGTGCGATACAGATTGAGAACGATTAAGCAAATCATAACGCAAAGGAGGTGTTGAACTGTCTTATCAATTATCAACATAATTAATCAGCCTGCACATGGGCCTGCTTTTTAAAGTTTCATATCGTTACACGTGGGGATCTTATTCTATGTTTGAGACAATTTTTTTTTTTTTAATAATAATTGTAATGTTCGGGGCAGCTTGCAAACATCTCGACTAATTCCGTGAGATACCTGCCATCAGTGGCAAAGTCAGGACTTTCCATAAGAGTGTTCAAACTTGAAAGAAATGAAAAAAGTTTCCCGGCAAAGGGTGTTCAATATATGTTATATATCTCTAAAACCCAATATTTTGCTTATATACACAGTGTAATTTTTCGAAGAAGGGTGGTCAATTGACAACCTTAGAACAACGTGGCTTCGCTGCATGCCACCTCCCACCAGCAGCAGGTATCAAGTAACTCTATCCACTAGGACTTGGATATATGAGAAGAAATCTTGTACTAGTATTTTTTTGTCTTCCATGAAATTTAAGACAACGTTAATAGAATGAAGTCCAAGTGAAATTTCGTTCTTATACTTTATGATTTAGCACTTTGTGTATAGCTAGCAATATGTATCTCAAGCGCATGGCATAATTTGGCAAAAAAGGAAATTTCACCTTCCATATTTCAATTAAAATGTATCGCGAGCAAAAGTTTAAAAGTCCGAAATGTCTTAGAAAACTAGATATATGAAGTGACAAAGAATACCGGCTCACAACCATAAAAAAGAATACATGCGTCTCTTTTCTTTTTCTCCTTTTTTAAAAAGAAAATTTAACCATAACGGGATTGCTTATTGGTGATCAAATTTACGATTGAAGTTAGCTTTTATAGCAAGTATAGATTATTGACAACGTACAAAGATGATATATATATCAATGCACAAGAACCCTATTGGATCTTTTTCCCGTTGACCTGATCAGCTTTGACCAAAAACCTTCTTTCTTCTTTTGGCCGTTCAAACCACCTGATCTACAAACTGATCTTGCAACAAAAGCTATTGATCTGCTTTTCTTCAACGCTCCTCCGGCGCCAACGCTGCTGATGCTGACGAAAGAGAAGGGACCCACAACGTCGGAGGTGATCCGGCGGTGGCCGCCACGGCGGGGAGAATCAAAAGTGGAAGAACAAGTAGAGGATGATGCCAAAGAAAGTGGCATTATTGTTGTTGTTGAAGTAGAAAGCTTATTGAGTTTTTCTCTAAGACAAGAAGAACAAACTCCTGGTTGTGGTTTATGATTTGGATGCTTCTTGCACATAATTTCTGGCTCAGTAAAACCCATTTTTTGATAGGTATATAGAAGTATATAGTACTGAATATGCTTTGGAAAAATAGTGTTGGACTAGATAGCTAGCTTGTCACGTAATATGACTAATTAAAGAACAAATGCATGTGAGTGGGAATATGAAATATATATACACACGGGTGGAGGTTGGGTGTGGGTCAAGAAAAATTTACGTGTTTGAAATATGAGTCATTGGCCAGTGTGAGATAGATGTATAGGGAGTGGGGACCGTGTGGCTCACGACGACCGACTTTTGCTTCTGTTTTTATGATCCTTCCAACAGTTACATTTTGCACACATAACTTGTGCGACATTTTCTTTGGACATACTTCTATTCGACAAATTTTAATTTATGTTCTAAATGAGAAGCATCAGAATAAAGAAGAGAAGCTAAACATAAAAGAATATTAGAATCCCAAGTTATACGAGCTGCATACGATAAAATAACCCGAACAAGAGAGTATTAGCCGCCAGAGTGGATACACCTTTCCGCTCTCGGCAAGCGGTATCACGTGACACTGCTTTTATCGAAATTTTTATTAAATATGTATATATAGATAGTACACAAAATAAAATTATTGGGCGTAGATATAAAAAATGATACCGCTTTTTGTTTAATGATTCATTCATTCATTCTTTTTTCAAATTTTGACACTGTCGCTTAACATAAATCCTGTGTACGCCTCTGTTAGCCGCTTTATTAGCATCCTGCCTACTTCAATGGAACAACAAGTCATGAAATTGATTCTTCAAAGACAAACAGTCCCCAATAATCGTACCAAATACAAATTAGACATGGTTGAATTAAGAGCAGTGAACGCCTCTTGACAATCGAATTCAATTTGAGCCATGAACGTGCTTCATAAAGAGAGAAAGCTCCAGCATTATTGGCGTCCAAACAACCAGAAAGAAAGGAGGTGATGGGTAATATTGTATTTTTGTTGCCATACGAAAAGGTTCTTGTGAAACCATAAACTCCCAATGTAAGATATTTGAACCATACTAAAAGAGAAAGGCAGCTACAGCAGATGAGAAATAAGATCAGCGACATTATAGCAAATAAATCAACTCCTAGAGAAATTATCTCTTTTATTTTTCAAATTACTTCTCCAATTCATGTTCGACAATAAAACCACCAATTGGTGTTAATTTTATCCATGGTCATTGAACTTTTGTGTTTGTTACCGAAAAGTCACTTTTTTTTTATTACGTAAAAATCATTCAACTTTGTGTTCATTACACAAAAGTCACTTTTCTTTCTTTTGTTACACAAAAATCATTTTACTTTGCTCTAGTTATCACAAAAGTCACTTTTTTACTTGAAAAGTCTATTATGCCCTTGATATTATATAAACCTTCATATTTATGTAATACCTTTTATATTATACTATTTAATATATTTTTAACTATGTATTTTATTTATAAATAAAATAACTTAATATTATTTTATTTATTATTTTTATAATATATTCGTATATTTAATTTTTTCTTAACGTTAGTTTTTAAAATATATTAGTAGCGTGATTAAATTTTTCAGTAATTTTAATATATATTAGTAGAGAAATAAATCGGCAAGTACATTTTCGTAAGAAAATTCGCAAGTAAACAAACAAAGAAAATGAGGAAAAAATCATATGTTAATCTGAAGGAAAATCCTAGGTACTACATGTGAATTTAACTGGGGATATTTTCTTGGGGATTTACCTGGGCAATTGGTTATTTGGGAAATTATATTACTAGAAATTCGGAAAAAATCGTCCAAAAAAATCGACCAAAGTTGGTAAAAAATTACCGACCAACTTTGGCCCGTCAATTAAATCCAAAAAAAAAAAAGAATTTCTGAAAAAAATTATTTTATGACGCTACTAATATATCTTGAAAATTAAAGTTAAGAAAAAAATTAAATATACGAATATATTATAAAAATAATAAATAAAATAATATTAAGTTATTTTATTTACAAAATAAAATACATGGTTAAAAATATATTATATAGTTATATAATATAGAAGGTATTACATAAATATGAAGGTTTATATAATATCAAGGGCATAATAGACTTTTCAAGTAAAAATGTGACTTTTATGATAACTAGAGCAAAGTAAAATGATTTTTGTTACAAAAGAAAGAAAAGTGACTTTTGTGTGATGAACACAAAGTTGAATGATTTTTACGTAAAAAAAAAAATAAACTTTGAATAACAAATACAAAAGTTCAATGATAATGGATGAAATTATCTCCACAAATTAATAAAAATATGAACTATGGGGAGGGATGCAAATCAACTCCCTGTAATACAAATGAGAGAAAATGAACAAACCAACAATTCTCTGTTATTTCTTAATTGTTTTCTTTAAGGCTCTAAATCTTAAAGGAATTAAGAGAAAAACAAATGACTCAGACTAAAAAATAAATTTCACTTTTAACTGGTTAAAAATTCATATTTTAATCTAGTCAGGGCATTCAGCTAAAAGTAAATGGTATTTCTGTCTTTTAATTTCCGTTCCAAATAAAAAGTGTCATATTATTTATATATATATATATATATATATATATATATATATATATATGAGCATAAAGATGAGATAAGTGGGATACATATTAGTTCAGTGGTCCTTTTTTCTTTGTGTTCCTTTTTCAAAATTTTGTCAAATCTAGATCCTTAAAGATGTTGGTCCAATAAAGATTTGAGAATAATTAAGCAAAATCTGAACATTAATTGAATAATGGGAGAAGCATTCAACACTCTTAGCAACAAATCCTTCCATTTTATTGGTATCTTTTATTAGGTTTGCGATTTAAAGACAATGTTATTAGAACCGAGTCCAAGCGAAACTTTATTGCTTTTACTTTATGCTTTTTGTGTGTAATCTATTTATTTCTTATAAAAAATTACTGTTAAAGCTAAAATTAGAGTTTAAATTGAACCGGTTAAAAAAAAAAGAGTAAGACATATAAATTGAAAAACATGGATTAAGATTTTGAGAACAAGGTAAAATCAATGAAAACATTATTGGTATTCGATATGATTATTACTTGTAAACAACGGATATTGGTAGGGGCCGACCATACCTAATTGTACTCAATCTTCCCATTTTTTAAAATTGACATATTGGAGGATACAGTTAATGGCGGAGCCAAAAGTTTTACCGAGGAAGGTCAGTATATAAAGCAGTAAATGTTAAATTCTTACAATTGAACTGAAACAATTATCAGATTTGGAGAAGAGAAGAAGCATTTTGAGAAGAGAAAGAGAATGAAATATTCATGTTCAATTGTATCGGAATTATACTGGTACAACTCTATATAACTAACTTCTATTCTAACCAACTAACTAGTGCCAACTCGTGGACAATCGTACACTTAACAGACTAATATGCTAACTACAGTTACAAGGTGAACTAACTGCAGTTAAGTTAAAACACGCGTGAGCTAAGGCACTGCATGCGTGGAAACATCCTTTACAGTAAACCCATAGAAAAGTCAAGAAATATCAATATATAATTTAATTATTTTATCTAGTTACAGTGTAATTTTCCGATAAAGAGGTATCGGTTGATATCCTTTGAGTATATGTAGCTCCGCCAGTAGATACAGCCCCTACCCTCCTAGTATTATTATGAAATGTAATAACTATTTATATGATTGATTGTGGTTCAAAATTGTCTTCAATATATAAATACTAAATCATCTTAGTTACAGAAGCAATAATTAGTATTTTAGTCCTTTTCTATACTTTCTTATCATGCATGTAAAGTCTATAGATTAAAACTGTTTGACCAAAGGTGTTAAGCCTCTCGGTTAAACTAATTAATAAAGAAAATAGAGGGTAAATCCTAGCCAAGAATAATTAACTCTAGATCTAAGTGTAACGAATAAAAGAATGAGGCATATTAGAGCTAGTAGCTCGAAGGACAAGGGCTCCTCTGCTTGCATTCCGTCAACCGGCTCCCCCTGCCCGGCCTGCACAAAGAGCTACTACCCGACCTGCTCCCGAGGCCGAAGCCGTGCGCGTGGAGGTTGCTCCTCAGCCGGAGAATCCGATTCTCGCAGTCCGTTCAAAGAGACGGCCCCGTCGAAGAGACGGCGGGTAGTGTTGGAAGAGGCTTCTCCAGCCAAAACATCTTCGAGGGGCGACCTTGCCTCGACGGTGCCCGAAACCGGCGGTGGTTCCAACCCGGCCGTGGAGACGACGCTCGTTGTGAGCGTTCAAGCGACTAGTGTGATTGAGCGGCGGCGTTCCGAGGCTACCGTTGCTGTTTCGGGCGGCCCTTCGACATCTCGGCAGGACCGAGCCCCTTCTTTGGCATATGAGAGGGGAAAAGGTGTTATGGTTGAGGATTATGAATCCGAATCCGATATTGACCCTGAGGACATGAGGATATTCGAGGAGGGTTTTACCCGAACTGTGGTAAGAGCGGAAGGCCATTCCCGAATACTCAAAATTCTGTCGGATCTCAACCTGCTGCAAGACACGGTGGATTTGGTGCCGCAGTTCGATCTTCTAAGCTCTGTCACTGAAAGCGAAGCTCTCCAGGATGTCAGCGATTCCGAGCTATCACGCGGTGTGGCCGCAATAAGCCTAAGGGTGAGTTCCCCTCTATTTTCTTAGTTTTGTGACCTTTGATTTCACACAAACTCTTTCCTGTTTCGCTCTTTTTTTGGACATACATGCTGGAGGTTGAGAGTGCTCTTAGGGCCGAGACGCGGGCCGAGATCTTTCTGAAATGGCCGTGAAGTATCGGCGATATCGCAACAGATGCCGTGAGATGCACGAGCAGCTCCAAGCGGGTACCCAGTCCATTAGGGAGGAGTTGGAGAAAAGAGATCAGGAGCTGATGCGGTCTATCCGCAGATGCAGTGAGCTCGAGGAGCTGCTCCATTCCAAAGACGAGGAGCTCGAGGTGGGCAACGGGGTTGTCACGGAGTGCGAGGACATTCAAGCGAAGGTGTTATCTTTACAAGCCGAACTTGAGCTAAATGCTACCAGAGTCGAAGCCTTGAGCGCAGAATGGATGGGGAAGTTGGCCGAGCTGGAAAAGAAAGTGGCCGAGATTGAAAGTGCCGAGGATGCTCGAGTGTCGGCTTTAGCGAGAGCGGCGGCGCT